TGTGACCCTTTGTGGGCGAGTTATCAGATATATTTCATCTTCACAACAGATTTTGGTTAGCAAAAATATTTGGATGTGTGAAATTTGAAGAAAGTTGGATGCTTACTTCACTTTCTTTCAGCGTTTTGTTTTTTAGAAATCGTGAACCCTATGTGGGGGGAGGCACCAGAAAAAATGGTCCGATCTGTGTCATCTTTATAACAGATCTTGTGTTAATGGAAATATTGAGATGTGCGAAATCTTGATGGCGTGGACCGATATCGTCCATTTTCGCACTTGACCTAGGCACCAGCCAGCCAAGCAGACAGGGAGACGAACAGACATCGGTAGATCGACTCCAAATGTTCTGAAACGGATTGGTGCAAAGTGACCAAGGGTGTAAAACCGTTATTTCGATGATGCATGTTTTGGGCGTATAAAATGATATATACCCTCTCTAAAGGGTATAATTTGTCGTTGTAAGTATTCACTGAATTCCATCTTTATATCTGATAGGGTACGAGGTCGAAATTATTTTTTTTTCAATTGCATTTAATTGACTTTGGTACAGAAAATATAAATATAAAAAAACAAGTAAGCAAAGGCTATAGTAGTGCGGGGCCGACCATGTAATACCCTACAACACTACAATTGGTTCGAAGTCCCCTTTATGTCCAAATCCAGTTTGGAAGATTTCGTTTCTGAAATAATGTTAAAAATAATACCCCTGTCCTTAACTCTCTTTTGATGCGGAGTGTAAAAATTTAAAAAATTTACAATTCAAAATTGGAAGTCAAATTGAAAAAATCGCATGCGATAAAAAATATGACAAAAATTGAAAAAAATGAAACAAAAGATATTAACTTTTTTATTGCTATATTTTTCCGCGAATTTCCTAGATTTTATCCTTTTCTGACAAGAGACCATTCCGAATTGATGGGAATTGTGAAAATCAGCGGTTCTTGACTTATAAGCAGAATAAATAAGTTACATAAATAAAATGTTACATAAATAAAATTAAACTTATAATATTATTTTTATAAGTTATAATAATGTTGTAGGGCCCGGTCCTCGTTGCCGGCTCGTACTTTTAGTCCTTAGTGCATATTTTTTTGTAGCACTATAAATCACAGATCCGACTATAAGTCACAATTTTTATAAATATTTTGGTATTGAAAATGGGCCATGTAGGTCCACGTTTTGGTATAGCCCCCATATAACGGTACCTACCGATACTCGGTATTTTGATGATTTTAACGACATTATTCACCGGAATAGTTTCAAATTTGGATACTACAGCTTAAGACAGAAAATTGTCTGTGCAGGTCCACGTCTTCGTATAGCTCCCATATAACGGTACCTCCCGATATTCGGTATTTTGATGATTTTAGCGACATTATTCACCGGAATAGTTTCAAATTTGGTATTTGAAGTTCGTAATGGATACTACAGCTTAAGACAGAAAATTGTCTGTGCAGGTCCACGTCTTCGTATAGTCCCCATATAACAGTACCTCCAGATATTCGGTGTTTTGATGATTTTAGCGAATTTATTCACCGGAATTGTTTCAAATTTGGTATTTAAAGTTTGTAATGGATACTACAGCCTAAGACAGAAAATTGTCCGTGCAGGTTCACGTCTTCGTATAGCCCCGATATAACGGTACCTCCCGATATTCGGTATTTTGATTTTATCGACATTATAACCGATTTTTTTAAGTTCCGCATTTGAATATTAGAATGGCTTATAACAAATGTTAACTACGCAGGTTCATGTCTATATAATATAATAGCTACATTCGGTATTTTTAAGATTTTAACAGAATTTTTTTAACGGATTTAATTGTTTTTGAGAAATGCCAAATTCGTTCCAAGTGGTGGAGGGTATTCGAAGTTCTGCCCGGCCGAACTTACAGCTTTTTTACTTGTTTGCACATAAAAGTAGTATTTCGTCGCTGTCCCAAACTCTTACTTCATGCGAGATTTCGGGTCGTTTGGTTTCTATATGTGACCTTTATAACGGCTGCAAAATCAGGAACACTTTTTGTTGTTGGTCCATTTCAACCCCTACATATATTGCGAACATCTTTAAGACAATAGGCCTAGCCCTTCTGAGCCTAATCCTACCCTTATGAAAATTTTCGTGAGAATCGGACGATAACTGCAATCTGTATGTAATAACCCCAACCTGTGTTGTGGAGTGAAAAAATATTGCAAATGGTACATTTCAATATTATAAGCCAAATTAAAAAATATCGCATGCGATAAAAAATAAAAAATGCCACAAAATACTACAAAATAATAATAACTTCATTATTGGCATCTTTTTATGCGATTTTTTTTTGCCGATTTTATTCTTTTATACCGAGAGGGCATTCTGAATTGACAAAATTTGTCAAAATCGGTCCAGCCATTATTGAGATATAAGCATTCTAGCTAACATCCCTTTCCTTTGTATATACACATTGTATATATTTCGCTATATATGTCCGATATATGTATTATCGTAACGGTAACGGTCAGAATTTACCTTTTCGTCTATTAGAGATTTCGCCGGGATTAAAAATATTCGCGGTTTAATGGAAAAATTGACCTTTATTTAACACAAATGTTATGGTCTATTTCATTCACTAAATAAATTGGAAGGATTCTGCCCAGCTCTAAACTCTAGCCCCATGTTGCAACCTGTAAATCAGGAAATTTTCAGTTTTTGGTCCATTTCAACCCATAACCCCACCTCCTTGCAAAATTTCGTGAGGATTGGACCACAATTGCGACCTGTAGAGTGATTAAAAATTGACATGAACAGACGGACGGACGGACATACATATCGACTCAGCTCGGCGAGATAAGAAGATCCATATTTACTTTCCTATAAGAGACCAGTATTACGAGGTGTTACATAATTTTTGCCCAATCAAACTTATAATAACCCCAACACATAGTGGGTAGGGTATAAACATATATCGGAGCCGAGTTGCACAAAATGGAAACGTAGGTCCCGAAATTCACTCCATTTGGGCTAATATTAGCCATTATTTGTACAATAAACTTGAAATTGGACTAAGGATATATGTGTGAGGGACTTAAACACCAAATCGTATGGAACATATATATGGGAGCTATCTGAACCAATTTTCTCGAAATTTTATTTACCGAAATACAGGTTATTTGGACTTATATTGGTCATTTTGTGCACAATTAACCCGAAATCGGTTGAGGATATATATGGGATCTATATCTAAATCTGATCCGATTATAACCAATTTCAATAGGGTTCGTCATTGGGCTAAACAAATATTGTTTGCAAAATTTCAGCTCAATCGGATAATAAAAGCGACCAACATTTTGTTCACAAGAATACATGGACGGACGGATGGGCGGACTAAAATGTATAAATCGACTCAGAAAGTATATCTATGAAGATCCTCAAAAGTAACTATGAGCCTATCTCGTATCCTTCTACATATTACAGAAGTCATAGTACCCTTACCACTATGTGGTGCAGGGTAGTAAAAAAAACACTACTACTAGGGTAGTAAAAAAAACACTACTATTACATTCGAGAGGGTGAGATGAAACAACTGCAACCAACTTCAGACTGCTGTCATTTCTAAGCCACTCGTCCGACAGCTATTTAAATTATTCCAGTGCATTTTGGTGAGAATTTTTCTGAAAAAAGTTATTCGTGATGTAATTTAAGCGTGATGATATCTTAATATTTGGCTGGAAAACCACAAGTGGCTAGAGCACTCCAACATTTAAATGTGAATAAATCTTTTGTGTCTCGTACCATCGCTCGTTACCGTGATACTGAAAGCATATCCCGACGTCAAGGAAGTGGACGGAAGAAAACAGAAACTTCAGCAGAAATGGTTCGAAATAGAAAGAAGCGACTTGATCGAAACCCGCGTCGCAGTGGCCGAAAAATGGACCGTGAGCTGAACATATCGCAATATTCCATTCGGCAAATATTGAAAACTGAGATCGTTGTAAAGCCATTGAAATTTCAAAATGTGCAGGGACTTTCACCGCAACAGAAAGAAAATAGACTGAAAAGAGCTAAGAGTTGCTTCGCTTGGCCGAAAGTGGTGAACTGCCGAATTTGGTTTTCTCATGAGATAACATTCGTTGTCCAGCAGTTTGTAAACAAACAAAATGATCATGTTTACTTGCCAAAGAGGTCAGCTGAAAATGTGCACCTTCGGTTGGCCACCAAAACTCAAGCGCCGGCCATGATGGCATCAGAATAAATGCCGAATATTATCGCGAAAATTTTCTGGAGGGTGTATTAAAACCTTGGGCACGCAAACATTTTGGCCACAGACCTTGGACATTCCAACAGGACTCAGCACCATCGCACTCAGCACGCGCCACCCAAGAATGGTTACAAAATGAGGTTCCTCTCCTCATTTCCAGCGCACAATGTCCACCAAAATCTCCGTTGGACTATTGTGTCTGGAGTATTCCAATTTTCCAAAGTGTCGATTACCTCAAGCAAGCGCTTTGCCGCGAATTGTCCAAAATACCGCAGAGCAACATGGCATCGTGTCACGCTTTCATTAGCCATTTGAAGGCCATAATTCGTGGCAAAGGTGGCCAATTCGAACCAATCTAAACTTATTCTAAAATTTAATGCTATTTCCGACATTCATTGCTTTCATTTAATAAATTAAAAAATATTTTATTTGACTTTGTTGCAGTTTTTTTATTTCACCCCAGATAAATTGATAGCAGATATTTATAAGAATTTATTACTTTTTAAATATGTCCTTATCGAATCTACACTGAGGGAAAAATCCCGTTGCGAAATCAAGCACGTATGTTGTCATTTTCGCAACGACCCGTTGTTATATTTTTCAACAACGGCTGTTGGTGAATTGTGCACGAACGTGCTCAAATTGACACCGAGACGTGGTCAACTTTCGGTACCAACAACAGCCGTGCTTAATTTGTCCATTTGTAATATTGGTAATTGCAGCCGATTACACACGAGTAAAAAATGACAACGGTGGTGCATGATTCACACACGGTCGTTGTCAATATGACACCGGTCGTGTATGAATTATGCACCACCACCTGCATAATGATGCACCACCGTTGTTACTTTGTACACCGACGTGCATGAATCGTACACGATCGTTGCCATTTTAGCAACTACCGTGTATGAATCATGCACCACCGTTGTCATTTTTTTTACTCGTGTGCAATCGGCTGCATATTTACCATTTTTTCCGTGTTATTGAAAGAGAAAGGACGCATTGTGCAAAAAATTTATTGAAAATGAATAATAATTCGCAAGATCCTCAAAATATCATTGGTGAGTTGTTAGAAATCGATGGCAATATTGTTGTGGTTCGCGATACAAACCATTGCAGCAGTCAAGATGCGGAAAACAATGAGGACGATTATATGTTAAGGGAGTTCTTAAAAGGAATAAATATGGAGTCGCTTTTTGAACAATTAAAAGGTAAGTAAATAAAAATGAATTTTTCAGTTAATCAGTGTAATTAACAAAGAATTTTCTTTTTTGTTCTTTTAGCATCACATGTAACATTTCGCAGCTTGCAGTACTTGAAAAAAGAAGATTTAAAGGAAGCAGTGCCACCATTGGGACTGCGTGTTGAATTCAGAGAAAAGCTCTTTGCTTGGAAAAAACGAAAGGTACGTATTATTTGTTTTACAGAGTTGAACTCAGTATTAATATTGTCATAACAATAGCTCGGGATTGATGACGAAACTATGTCAGTTCCATCTAAAATAGGTGAATGGTGGAAACGCAACGAGACACCTGCAAGTACTCCTGGTACTCCCGACACTACAGGTTCGAACTGCTCAAAAGCCAAAGGAATTTTGTCAGAGGTAAGGTAAGAGTAATATTTGTGTAAGCATAGTTAATGTAGTTTTTTTATTTAATATAGGATCTAACGGAATTGTTAACACATACCTCGAAGGGGAAACTAGCGCTTGAATGTAGTAGCGTTAATAAGAAATTAAGTGACGAGCAAAGAGATGATATAATTAATATAATTATTGAAGATATTTTAACCAACAATGTTACTCTTTACACTCAAGACTATATGCGCATATTGGATGAAATTTGTTCCGTTTTTCCTCTTGAAAACGAAATGAGGGTAAGATTAACAATATAAACAACGTATCTGATTATGTAGTTTCTTAACTTATAATATGTCTTTATTTTTAGGATTATTATTACATTTCAAGAAAAGGAAAGAACAACGCAAGCGGAAAACTTTATGCCAAGTATAGAAACAAGAAGTCCAAAAGAATAAAGCTTTTGATTTCCGAGCCTAGCACAAGCAAAGCAGCAACTCACACATCTCCTAATTTTTGTAACAAAGATGTTCCCGAAATTGATGAATCAGTTGAAAATTCATTGAAAGCTTCCTTACTAAGAGAATGTAATGATTGGGGATCGATCTGCGAAAAATGGAAAAGATCTTTTAACATACGGCAAAGAGATATAAAAAATTTAAGTAGCCATACATTTCTCCTTGAATGGACGAAGTTGTCCGATGCAAGAGCTTCAGAATTGGTAAGTAGCCATGAGCTATTTATTTGTATATGGATACTAATGTTTCGTTTTAGGTCAACATTGATTTCGATATTATGTATCCACAGAAAGGCAATCTTCTACTTTCTAAATGGGACCAATTTAAGAAAAAAATTTACAATTATTATGGGAAAAATATTCATAACGAACATTGCAAACAACTCTTCGCAAATGTTTTGACGGCAAGCAGCATAGGTAAATTTTAATTCCTGATTTATCATAAACATTAAAAGTAATATTTATTTTATATTTCGGTTGCAGATGCTCAAGATTATATATACGCAATACTGTTGAATTCAGTTTTACCATCACCTGCTAGGTTTAAATGTGGAAACGGTAAATTACGAAAAAAAGTAACAATAGCTGATTCGCAGGAAAGTTTCGTACTGCGACTACCGACAATTAACGATTATAAAAGGCAAATTGATACAGTCACTGAAAAGTATTACAATGCTGGATTAACTATACAGCCATTTATAATTGTGGAGGGTTTGTCCGATTTCAATATAAAAGGTTTTTATGTTTTTTTTAACCACAATTTGTTAAAATTTCAATCGTTCCTCGAATGTTTAGATACATGTTTTAAAATTTTTCATGCACTTTCTTTAAAATATCCAAATGCCTGCCAAATTCCATGGATTTTTATCCAAAAATATTTTTATGAAATTAATACTGTATATGATATAAAATCAGTTAATTTGACTTCACTTATTAATTTCTGCAACAATAATTAAAGTACAATTCAAAATGTATATTTGCTTTCGTTGCCGTAAGCATTTTGATAAGGCAAATCTTTTAATAGCTCATTTGAAAACAGACCATTTAATGTCCACTAAATTTTTAAAAGTACAATGCGTTCAGGACAACTGTAAGCAAACATTTACAAAATTTACGTCATTCAGAATTCATTTAGAAAAACTTCACAAGAATCACACAAAAGCTCCACCAATGGTTAAAGCCATTAATGTGCCAGTTGAAATGTCATCATCAAAAGAAAATGATTATACAAACAGTGAAACTGTTATTAACAACAATACAATAGAAAAGGATTTAAATGTTTTGAAAAAGAAAACCTTATATCTGTCTTTACAATTACATGGTCAAAGCTATATGCCTAGAAATCATGTTATAGAAATACAACATTCTGTTTCAATTCTGCTTTCATCCATTTCATGTACAATTGAAAAATATATAACTGATCATCCAAATTATGAAGACTTAAGGTACTTACTAAACTTTTGTAAAAATCCTTTCGAAGAAACTAGAACGGAATATAGACTTTTAAAAATTTTAAAAGAACTAAACTTTTATGATGATCCAAAGGTTTATGTAATTAGCAATCAAGTCTCGGAAATTGTTATCAGCGGAAATCCCAGTTTAGGTCCAAAGTTATCCAATATTTATATAATGCCACTGAAATTCATGATAAGTGCCCTTTTTAAAATTCCAAATCTCTTAGATTTGACATTAGAAAACTCCAAAAAATTCCTAAATTCACCTGTTTTACAAAATTTTACAAACGGTGAGTTATATAAAACTAAATTATTAAAATATCAGTACAATTTAGTTATTCCCTATGTCCTTTACATGGATGATTTTCAAATTAATAATCCTCTTGGAACCCATACATTTTCCATATGTGGTTGTTATATTAGCTTTCCTTCAATGCCACAGCACTTGTTGTCAAAACTTGATTATATATTAACTGCTGCGTTTATACCATCAAAGGATTTAAAAGAACGTGGAAATGAAGTTTCATTTCACAATCTTGTAGAAGAGTTAAAAATTCTAGAAGAAGGGGTTGAAATTTGTGTTCAACAAAGTGTTCAGAAGGTGCATTTTATTTTAGGTGTAATTATTGGAGATAATTTAGCAGTTAATAGTATTTTAGGCTACGTGCAATCATTTAACTCTAAAAGATTTTGCCGGGTATGTAGAAGAAAAAAGTCCCAAATGCAATTCGACGCAATTCAGCATTTAGATAGTTTAAGAAACCAAGAGAATTACAACTCAAATGTATTGGAAAATAATTTTCAAGAAACAGGTATTAAAAACAAGTGTATCTTCGAATCTTTACCAAATTTTAACGTCACTGAAAATTTTTGTTTTGATATTATGCATGACATTTTCGAGGGCATATGTGTCTACGATATGTCTAATGTAATTCTCGGGCTGATTCAAGAAAATATTGTTACGTTAGATTGTATTAACAGCAGAAAATCTTTATTCCAATTTGGAGAAATTGAAGTGGGAAATAAATCTGGACCACTAGATTTATGTAGATTGAAAAACTATAACTTAAAAATGACAGCTAGTGAAACTATGTGTTTTACTAATTTTTTACCTTTAATGGTAGGCGATTTAATTCCTTTCTCCAACGATCACTGGAAAGTTTTTATAATATTATTACAAATAATCGATTTACTTTTAAGACCAAGTTATATAGAAGACGATTTAATAAAATTGGAAGAATTAATTAGAGATCACCATTCACTTTATATAACATTATACGGTTCGTTAAAACCGAAACACCACTTTCTTGTCCACTATCCCACAGCTATCCGAAAATGTGGTCCCCTTAAATATCTCTGGAGCATGAGATTCGAAGCTAAACACAAGGAAGCAAAAGCCTATTTAGGAAATACTACATCAAGAGTAAATCCCTGTCGTTCATTATCTATTAAGTCTGGATTGAAATTTTCCAATTTTTTATTAAAACACGAAGATAACTTAGAACCAAATGTTATCATTAATACGCATACCATCGAAGATTTGGCAAAAGAGGAATATTGTTACAAAAAAAGTAAGCCAGTTTTAAATTACCAAAATTGCAAAGTGTCTGATGACATTTTTTTTAAGGGAACTAGGTATAAAAAAAACTATTATTTAGCAACAAATAATGCCGCAATTGAACTTTTCAAAATTAAACATTTAATAATTGAAAATGAAAATGTTTACATTTTATGTAACCAAGTAAAAGTTAAAAACTTTGATTACCATTTACAATCGTATGAAGTTGGTTCTCTGAATGAGGATACAATTTTTTTAATACCAATTTTAGATTTTATTACTTACCCATTTCACTTATATCCTATGAATAATGGAAAAGTTTATTTCAGATTTAAGTTAATTTAATTTGTTTCTATACATTGAATATATGTAATTCGAATTGTTTTGTTAAATCAAATATGTATTTATATTGAATTTATGTAATTGGTTTCGTTCAATAAAATACTTTTCAAAAAATGTCGTTTCTTCTACTAAGGGTATAAAATGGAAAAGGAACGGATATCAAAAAATGACCACCATTGATTTCAATCTGACAACGGGCGTTGACAATCCGACAACGGAGCGTTGACAATCTGACAACGAAGCGTTGACGATCTGACAACGAAGCGTTGACAATCTGACAACGGGGCGTGCTCGAAATGACCACGTATGTGCTCATTTCATGCACATCTGTTGTTGAAATCGTTGCCAAAATCTCGGTGTCAAAATGACAACAGCGTGCTCATTTTGACACCAAACGTGGTTGATACACTATCATACACGGATGTGGTCATTTCATACACGGATGTTGTCATTTTTTCTCTGGGTGTATGGTCTTAGCTCTATGTTTTTATCAAAATTAGTTCGAGTTTGCTGATGGGCCATATTGGTGAATATTGAGAAATATTACTCCTTTTTGTACACCCCGAAAAGGGGTCAAATTTTTGAATAGCAATAACTCTAATAGAGTGCGAATTTAATACCTAATCTTTGAGGGTATGTCCGCTCTGTTTTATCTCAACATTTTTTATCTGATTTATGTTAATAAAAAAATGTTAATAATTATTTACGATCGGTTTTATTAAGTGAAAATAAAATATGAACTTAGATCTGCACGACACTGTCGCACTTTAAAAATAATATCTGCTAATGAAAGGTACGAAACATTGTATTCAAATAATAGCAGTAAATTAAAATTAAAAAAAATAAATTTTCACTTGGGTGAGATAAGGCTGGGTTTCTTTGAAATTCGGGTGAACGAAAGCTGCTTGAAAATTGAATTACGGCATTAGGTTGTGATTCTACGAAGATCATCAAAAGTGCCAGGGGTATATCTCGCTTCTTTCTCCATGTTACAAACAAATGTACAAGGACATAATACCATTACCACTATGTGGTGTTGGGTATGAAAAATATGATTTTTTAGGTCTTCGAAAATTAGCAGGAGGTCAAATTGTTGATATGTTGTCAAGAATTGTGATGTGCTTAATCATTTGGTTTTGGTTTTCAAATGAAATGACACTCTGATTCTAGCCAATGGAAAATCCCACCCTCCACCACATGCATTGTAAAGAAATTGTATATTTCGTAAAATATAGTTGTTTTTTTTAGCTTTTTCCTGTTCAACATGAGCAGCACGGGAAAATGACAAGATCAACCATTCACAGCAGAGGCAAAAAACAGAAACAAACCAGAAGATCAACGTTTTGTCAAGGTCATTTATCATTAACATGTGTCGGTATTGTGATCCTCACCCTCAGCTTTTGTTCTGTCACATGTGTATAAAATTTGTTTGTGTGTGTATGTATATTACATATCCCTTATTAAGCTCAACGGATTGTATTGCTACACACAATAGATATTCACATATCATGTCGTGTGATGAATGAATGGAACCACCATCGGGTATTACATTTCCCATTTGGCTCCCAAAAGTCTACAGACCAGACAGCATCACAATGACAACAACACTAGCAGTCGTAGCGGCAGCGGCAGCTAAAACCATGCATACAACACTCGTTGTAGCAGAACTAAAAAATTCGAATGAATTAAATCACATTAGATGAGAACTTTTCTGATGGCAATGGTTTGCTGTGCACTTAAGGGGAGGGAGAGAGTAAAAATTAAAAATCTAGAGGAAATTCAAATTTACGAAACATAGATAATAGTAGTCTCGAGAGAAAAAATTCTGACATTCAGATTTACGAAACATAGATAATAGTAGTCTCGAGAGAAAAACTTCTGACATAGGTCAAAATATATTCCCAGCACAGATTAGGTAGGTGATTGTGTCACTATTATCATTACTAGTATGTCGACTATATACCTTCCAGCAGGAAAAATAATAATGACTTATCCGTATAAGGCAGCAACAATTTTATAATGACATGTGGCACTTTCAGCACTGTCTTGAAATGACCGCTACTGCCCTATGCATTACCAGTATATGACTAATGACTAATACATACGCTCTGCATTACCATTAAACTAAAAAATAATAAGTTATTATAAAATTTAAAAGGAAAGCAGTAAAGAAAGCCCAAAGTCGGGCTGGGCTGACTTTATGATACCCTACACCACTTTTATGGCCAATTTATTTACGAAATTTTTTGTCATAAGCTGTAGTTCCCATTACGAACTTCAAATACAAAATTTGAAATAATTCCGGTAAAAATATCGTTACAACCATGTGATACCCTACAACACTACAATATGTTCGAAGTCCCTTTATATCCAAATCCATTTTGGAAGATTTCGTTTTTGAAATAATGCCAAAGAGCCCTGCCCAGAGGTTAACCTTAGGTTTTTGACCCGGAGAATTTGGCCAATATTTGCGCACTCCGTAGTGTTGT